CCGCCCCCCCCCCCCCCCAAAAAAAAAAAGAAAAAAAAACTAGCAGGTGAACGGAAGACACTAATGGGCCAATGCTTGTGGCCCATTGGACTGAACCTGTGTAGGAGTTTTACCTGCTTGAAGGCCCATCTATGATTGTAGACCCAATTAAAAATCAATTTTTCTGTGAAGAACAAAGGATATTAATTTTTTTTTTACGTTCTGAATATTTTAAGAACAAAGGATATTAAATGGCGGTGATATATATGTTCCAAGGATTTACTCAAATATCCATAGCTTGGATCTTGTGTTTTGTGTATGTATATATATATATATATTAAAACATTATACCATTTTTATGCATATTTTATAAATCATAGTTCTATAAAAATTTTACGTTAAGAATTTGGTTGATTTATTACCAAGAAAAAAAAGGTTAATATTTGAATTTTACGAAGCAACACTAAAAGACGTCGATACAAATTGGCTAAGTACTAGTGCCTTCATGAACAAGCAACATCTGTTTAATGATCCTTTCGTCTGGAGTGTTCAACAAGAAAGAAAAGCGATAAAGAAAAACAATATTTCCAATGAGGAGCCGAATGGACCCGCTCTTGTCTAGATATATTCTTTAAAGCAAATATGCCCATTAATAGCAAGCAATGAAATATATATAAGCTAAAATTTAAGTGAATAAGATTCCCATCTTCTAACTAACACATAATGTAATGCCAGAGAAAAGATCAAAGACTTACAGCTCTTTCTGTTGTGCCAGGAGGACCATCAAGAATCTTAATCCGCGCCCTTGTCTCCTCAACTATTTTCTTAATGACATCTCCTTTACGCCCAATGATGCTACCCACTTTCTGGGCAGGAACCAGCATGCGGAACACACTCTCTCCAGGCCATCCAGGCCATCTCTTCTCACTGTGGCTATTCCAGTTTTATGTATTGTTTTTTTCTCTCTCGAATTATTCATTGCCCTCTTTTGCGGTGGCTTCCGGTGCCTTTGCCTCTGCCTCAACCGCAGCCGCCGTCTCCGTGACCGGAGCTTCGGTGGTAGCCGGTGTCATCAATGAATCGAACTTGTCGGATTTCCCCAAAACAATCTCGATCTACACGCGGAGATGATGACAGAAGAATTGCTATGCATTTTGACAGAAACTTGGAATATTATCGAAATTGACCGAGAAAAAAGGGAGGAGATATGATACATACCTTGGCCTTCTGAACCACTCGCCCTTTGTTCTCATCTTTCATTCCCACTGTGGAAGTCAAAACTTCTGTCTCCACAGACCAAAAAAAAAAGAGATTCAAGTTTTAAATGAAAAATGATGTGTTGATTGTGAGAAGGATATGAGTTTTTTTTTTCTCACTTTTCTCGATCGCTAGCCCGTTGTTCTTTAAGATCTCTGAGATTGTAACCACTGTTGTGATGGCTGTGAAGAGACGACATTAATGTTCAAAAGTATTTAAAAGATTTATGTTGGTAGAAGAAATCATGTATATAGAAATATGTCAATGTGTGTGAATGTTAAATAAACAGGATTCAGCAAAATCTACCCATTCCAAGTGCAGAGAGTTCCACCTCGTTGTGCTGCTGAATGTATCTCTGCATTTAAAACACAATAGTTCATCAAAACATTGAAGATATTCGCAATGACAATTGATTTCTGGCAATATGTGATTCTCATTCTCTGCTTTGGGGATGTTGAAGCTTCTCGGAGGCAAATTGGCAATATCTGTTTTCAACAAAATGATTCATCGAAACAATATATAGTGAAGACTGAATCAGGAGCATTCAATCATATTGATCCTGACCATTGACTTCTGACATTCCACTAGTTTTACAAACGAAACCTAAATCTATCCTTAAATTCCTCTGCTCCACTATCAGATGTGAAAAATACTTGGACAAGACAAATTAAAATCCACGAAACGGAAGAGTATCCACTAATTTTATAGGTCATAGCAAATTTTACTCTCATTGAGCAGATCTCGCTCGTCTATGAGTGGATCTGATCAGTCACGAATTTGAAATTGTAAACAACAAAACGCAGATCCGATGAAAAATATTCAGACGATTCGAAACGAAATTACGAGATTTACCTTAGCGAGATTAACGTAGAAGAACAACGGTTTCTTGGTGTTGGACACTTGGATCCTGTTCTTCTTCTGATTCTCCGCCGCCGCCGTTTCCTCCGCGACGACGTTTCTCTCCGGCGCTGGTGCCGGAGCCGGAGCAGGAATAGGTGTCGCAATCTCCATCGCCATTTTCAACCGCTCTTCTTTTTCTCACTATATCCTTTTTTCCCTCAGAGTTTCTCGGTAGCGGGAAAATCCAGTGTTTGGTTTCTCGGGAAATTAGAGAACCGTTTGGATGAGGAGTGGCGTTTAAATAGCTTTGGGGTCGCACTGGTTGAGAACCAATGAAACACCGACACGTGTTCGATGCCTAGTGAAATCGTTGACCGTGTAAAGAGCGAATGGCGGATTGGCATTGGCGCAGCGCATCTCGCTTCTCTCCTACTGTGATAAATGACGATATTACCCTCGGTGTTTCGAAGTTATTTACGTTTCAGTCCTATCTTAAATGGGCCGTGTATTTATTTTCTTATGGGCCTGAGAGTTTGTTGGGTTCTTTTAATTGCTGCGATATGATATGACAGATGTTATTTATTTATTTTTTGTTAAAAAGATGTTATTTATTTTTCCTAAACTAATTTCCTACTAGCGAAATATAAATATATTTAGATGTGCGTTGTAACGTTATTTTAAAAAATAAAAGTTCGATGAAAATTTCTACATAATAACGTCAACGAATAAATAGTGCATGATATTTGAAAGATGCCCCAAAACCATTTCTTTGATGGGCCAATCTAAAAAGCATAATTAACTGCATTTAATAAAAAAAAAGGCGTACAATGCAAATGCATGCATCAATTATTTTATTATCCTTATATTTAAAGACTAATAAATCATAACCACGTTTTGCCAAAACCTTAGTTACGTCTCACTCAAATCGAAAGGCATTTGGGTATGTCGGTCCAAAAAAACGCTTGAGAATGAGAGGAAGTAAATGACACGTGTCACGATACGGCCCCACCACATCGGTTTCGTCCCATCAGCTGGGGCTAACGGCCCCGACAGGCGGCAGATCTTTTGTCCACAACCTGATGTGAAATTTGCCGCCAAAGTTGTCAATTTTGATTTCCACGTCCAATATGATTTGACCGTCTGAACTTGGGGAGATTTTTCAAAGCATATCATTAAATAAATTCGTTTGATATTTATAAAATTACACACATTTGTTATAATATAAGAGGTGGTCCTTTTTTATATAATTCTCGTCTGTATACATAAGTTTGAATTCAAATATTTTCTCGAATATTACCACCCCTGACAAATACGAAATAAAAAATATATTGGATAATCAACATGGAGATGATTATCCAATTTAAGTAATAGTCAAAATATATACTGGAATTATCCAAATAAGGAAATGAATATTACGCGAAAAGAACAGCCAGAATCGAACAGCAAAGAACTAAAAATAGAAACAAATAATTCGAATTACGTAAAAAAAATTTAATAAATAGACAAAAACATGCCCGATAAATAGCGAACACAAAGAATAAAATTAAAAACTGTTCCAAATCAGTCTCCGCAAAAAACAGAACAAAATCTTGAGAAAGAACAGAGAGAGTTTTTTTCCCTTTTGTGTCCCTTTGGATTGGTACGGAAGAGATCGATTCAAATCATCATAGGGGAGAAGATTGAGAGAGAGGGGCTAAAGCTTGTGCTCGAGGATCTTTGTCGGATCAGACAAGATTTGTAAGAAAACTTTCTTTCCCATTTCTTTGGCTGATTTTGTTTTTCCTTTTCTGGTTTGGGCGTGTGTTATTCCTCAAGAACATCATGGTTTGATTAGCGAAACTAAACTCAAATCTTGAATCTTTCGTACAATTTGTGATGAAATCATATCTGGGTTTCGTCAAATTCCTGACAATGATTATGTTTATAAATCTTGTTCAACAACGCCTTTGAAAATGGATTCCGCCGTCTGGGTCACGCATGTCTGTTCAACTTTGAGTTGCAGCTCTATCTCTTGTTCTTGACCGGATTCGAACACGACATGTTCGATCTCCGGTCGTTCTTGGAATTTGTTGGAAAAATGCAGACGAAGAACAGTGAATTGGAATCTCGAAATGGGTCAGAAGATTGATGCGTGAGAATTGGGTATGCTTTATATAGAGAGAGGGAGGTTGTGGAAGACATTTCAAGATCGAAAGATCTGAGTTCTCAGGCTAATTTATCTGCAATTTCCAAGGACGATTTATGACATTTTTGATCGCGTTGAATCTGTTCATAAGGATTTATGTGATATATAATGGCAGTGGAATGGGAATGGAGGACAGCGGGAGGGTTCATGTCGCTCCAAAGATAGCAGCAGAGGACGATGATTCTCCCTCCCTGAACATCCACCAGAAGAATCTCACTGACGATTCAGATTCAGAGGTGAATCTTCTGGATGATTCTTTCGAAACACAGAGAATATCGAAGGTAGTGAACCGTTGTTTCAGACCAGATTGAATATTCTCACCAGACAAATCACCTGTAAGATGTTACAGATTTGTTCCTTTTCATGTTTTCCAGAATGATTCCCCTTTTACAAAGAGGAAACCTCTGCAACCCGAGAACAAGAAGCATGCCGATGAAGAAGATAGTTATTCCGTCGCCTCTTCGTATCCTTTTTTACATATCGCAGCATCGGCTTTTTTGTGCATTGATCTGTTTACCGTTTGTATAATCTTACAACGTCTGATGATTCCTTATAGATATTTTAGAAATGTGTCGTCGAGAACGAGTAAGCCGAGAGTAACCTATGGATGCGCTCCAACGTTTAGAAGCGCAGAACGTGCCGAAAAACGCAGAGAGGTGATATTTTTTTTCCCTTTTTAGCGGTCCAAAACGTTATGCCTCGGTATGTTTTTCTATCTGATTAGTGTGTTGTGGTTTCTGTATGGTTTAGTATTACCAAAAGCTTGAAGAGAAACAGCAAGCCCTCGAAGCCGAGAGGACTGAACTCGAACAAAGGCAGAAGGTAAATACGATTTTTACAATCAATCCCCGAAAACGGATTAGATCTGATCGAACGTGACTTTTTTCCCGGCTCGTTTTTCTGTTGCGTAGGAAGAGCAAGAAGCAGCGATTAAGCAACTCCGGAAGAAACTCATTTTCAAGGCGAATCCCGTCCCGAACTTCTACTACGAGAAACCTCCTCCCAAACCCGAGCTTAAGAAGGTAATCGATACCGAAAGATGATTATCTTCTCTCCATCTCTCTATCTTCTTGAAGAAGGTAGCTTAACGTACATTCTCTCGCGAAACGAACTCTTAGCCTCCATTGACGCGTCCAAAGTCGCCGAAACTCATCCTGTCCCGGAGAAAGAGCTTCAACGACTCGATCAACTCCTGCGATGAAATCGGGAAGACGGAATCTGGCAAGATCCGACACAACATTGCTTCATTACAAGACAAGGAGGATCCCACCAAGAACAAGAACACTGTCTTAAGAACCAAAGCTTCTGCTACCGATACCGATGCTTGTGAAGTGGAGGCTCAGAGCG